TATTATGCTAGTCTATTCCTCATTCTTTATCAGTCCTTTCAAAAAATATTTATTGAGCATGTATGGTGTAATTCCTTTAAGCAGTAATTCTTAGGAAATTTGTGAAAATGATTTCATACCGTAATATGTTAGAAATGCATACCTTATGCACATTCAAAAAGGAAGTATGCACAACGTATCATGTTTGATCATCACTATGAATGAAGATGGTGACATATGGTTCTGAGCTGAGAGCCCCACTGAGTCAATGCACTGGAGTAAACATCTGAGGGAGGCCAATGGACAGAGGAGAAGGTGTCTGCTGGGACAGACTCTGGGGTAAGGAGCAGGAAAGGTAAACGCCCTGAGGAGGGGGCAGCCTGGCATGTCTGAAGCTGAATCAGGAGACTGTGTCATGGAGCCGAGAGCAAATGGACAGTCCCAGGAATGGAGTCAACCAACAAGGACCCTACACCTAGAGCCTCAAAGCACCAGGGAACTTGGCTGAAGGAGACTGGACGTCCTGGGAGACTCTGAGCCACAAGATAATGGATCCACTGGGTTTGCAAGGGGTCAACATGGGTTCCTTGTGCAGAAGAACTGACCACAGGGAATGGCCAAAGCAGAGACAAGGTGTGACCTGCTCTCATCACCCAGGTCAGAAATTTTGTTAGCTTGGGACAAAGTGCTCAAAAAACAAGTGGTCAGACTTAGTTATAGTCCAGATGTTCTGGTTTATAGTCAGGATCGCTACCTGTGGATTCTGTGCAGGATGGTTTTGGAGAGCAGGGAGGTCAGGACACACTTTCCAGACAGGGAGAAGGGGAAATGGGCATGGTGGCCAGGCAGGAGAAGGCCTCACCAATGACCCAGAGGTCACTCTGCTGTCTACACAGAGCAGGGAGGAGGTCGCCATCTTAAGACCCATCCCTAGATCTGACCTGCGTCTACTTCATGTTTTCCAGGCATCTGTGGGGACTGGAAGAATCACCTCACAGTGGCCCAAGCTGAAGCCTTTGATAAAGTTTACCAGGAGAAGATGTTGGGTTTCCCCAAAGGGATGTTCCCATGGGAGTAACCTCTGACAGATCCAGGACCTTCCATGGACAATGTGATGGTTTTCCTGTCCTGGGACAGGCTCAGGACTGAAGGGTTCTTCACATAAAAACCACCTCTGTAAGAAAAGGAGGTGGGAGGATAGGATAACCTAAAGAAGCAATGAAATATAAGATAATCAAGGAGTAAAAGGAATTCTAGTTGTTTAGAGGAGGAGAATGCCGGGGGAGGGGCATGCGGGGAAGGGGGATCGGGAAGGGAAATAAACTTCCACACATGGGTGGGTTTCTCTACATGAACCCAACTCCAATGTGTACCTACAAAGCTCTGACAGAATTTAAAACCCATTTCTTCATTCTGAGCCTGTATTTTGCTTCTCTCATCACTTGTTTGTAAAAATGATTGGAATTTCCCTATTCACTTTGTCATCTCCTAGCATTTAAAAAATCATGTATAATTTTTAAACATACAGAATTCTATCAATGTAAGATGAATATCACTCAGAATTTTCTCTCTCATTTTTAAACCAAGAAATAAAATGTAGCAGCACTTAGGGTTCCTTTTCTTTACGTGCATCTCCAGATTGTGTTATGATGACAATCTGGAGGAGTGTAATTTCCAGACTAGCTTTATTTTCCTTCCTGGTGGTGTTTACATCATAAATAATAATTGCTCTGTCTGGGATTTTTAAAACTTACATCAATGGTGAAAAGAACAATATATTCTGAGCTCTCTTTTCTACTCACATTTACCACATAGTTTTATCTGAGAGCAAATGGGCAGTCCCAGCTGATGTGTAATGAGTGGTCAGGAATTGACTGAGAATTTGGACACAGTTTTCTGTTCTCCTATAAGTGACTCTGGGTATCTCCCTCACCAATTTCTGCATATTTAAAGCACCACTTGTCAAGAGTGACACAAACAAAGGTACGAGTTTTCCTAGGATACATTTAGAACTGAACTGGTCTGTTCACTCATTGGCCCCTAGTAGGTGTTATGAAATTTTTCTCCATAATCTTGTAATAAAGGTAAAGTCCAAATACACTCTACCTCTGACTGCTTTTAGTTCACAAAATTTGGAG